CTGGTTCACACCTTTCGAGCCAAATTTCAGCAGTTCCAGTTTCCCGTGATTATTTATTCGATTGTTGCCAATGTTACTTTTGTTTATGCTTCTAGGCTTGGGACCATGGCTGCTGCGATTGCGCTCGTCAAGAAATTGCTCGAAGCATGCCTGACCGGGTTGGGAGTGGCAACGGGTGTCTCATTGTTCATACTTCCAAAAAGTACCCGAGGCATCGTCTTCAAGCAGATGGCCGGTTACATCGGCGGTCTGCGTGCTGCCCTCAATGCACACACGGCGTACTTCGAAACGTTGGAAAAGGACGACATGTTCGGGAGGGCAGAGACGTACGATTCGACCGTAGAGAAGGTCACCGATAAGGGTAAGGTGTATAGCCCGGAGGCTCAGGCTATCCGTACAGCCTGTCAGAAAGTTACAGACCTTCATGCAAAAATCCATGGGGATTTGACATTCGCCAAGCGCGAAGTTGCAATTGGGAAGCTTGGGCCAGATGATCTCCAAGCCATCTTCCGACACCTACGCCAGATTATGATACCCGTAGTTGGGTTAAGTTTCGTTGTGGACATATTCCAGCGCCTATCTGACTACAATAAATGGAACCAGCCCATCGATACGACTGGAGCAGAAATTCCCGACCAGGTACGCCAGAGGGTTAGACTGGAGTGGAACGAGATCATGAGAGCAGTCCATGATCCTTTCAGCTCAATGATCCACACAATTGACGAGGGTCTGCATCATGTGTCTCTTCAACTTGAGCTAACAAAGCCGCCGAAAGCCTCGAAGGCGGGCAAAGAGTCGGAAGATGTGGAGGCAACGGCTAGTCCGAAACCGGGCGAGAAAGGTTTTGGCGAGTATTACGAGAAAAAGCTTCACAACTTCAAGTACGCCAAGCGAGTTGCTCTGCGAACTTGGAGCGAAGAGAAGGGGATAATCCTGCCACCTGACTTTTTTGAGCACCCGTCATCTGTACATTTGGATGTGGACGATATTCCTGATGACAAGTTTGGAGTCGGCCGAGACAGGAGCCGACGGCAGCTGTACTTGATTCTCTATGTAAGCTTGGTCTCATGCTTGATATCTACTGATGCTGACTATATCACAGGTGGAGCAGCTGCTCGAATCAACTGGCCACGTTGTCCATGATTTCATCCAGTTTGCAGACGAGAAGGTTGCAAGTGGGAAGCTCGCACGGAAGCGCCTCGTAATTCCTGGCTCCAAGCGTTTGCTGAAATGGTTCATCAGCGCTTTCAAGGCGGAGGACTCACATGAGGATGACAACTTGGGTGGTGACATCAACTCACAGAACAACATCCTTCAGCTGGGCGAGGCTTATAAGCACCGAAAGGATCCGGAACACCTGCCGCCGGAGAATACGTTGGAGAAAATCGGTGACAAGATTCGCCTCATACCTACAGCATTACGCTCTCCTGAGTCGGCATATGGATTTCGAGTTGCATGTGCTACGATGACAGTCGCAGTGGTTGCCTTCCTTCACGACACGCAGGATTTCTTCGTCAAGCAGCGATTCGTTTGGGCCATGATCATGGTCAATCTCAGCATGTCACCCACATCCGGGCAAAGCATATTCGGCTTCGTTCTTCGTCTCCTCGGTACAGTCCTGGCCATGGTGCTCAGTCTTTTGGCATGGTATATCCCGGGGCAGAAGACCCCTGGAATAATCGTATTCCTGTTCATATTCCTGACGTGCGTCTTCTACGTGCCGATCAAGATCTTCCGCTTCCGTATCATTGGAATCATCACCATCATCTCTACATCGATGATCGTGGGCTACGAGCTCGAGGTGCGTAAGATTGGAGAAGCGGTGGCCAGTTCCAATGGACAGCAGTACTACCCAATCTACCTCCTGGGCCCGTACCGACTGGCGACCGTGAGTGCCGGTATAGCTGTGGCCTTCATATGGACATTCTTCCCCTATCCGATCTCGGAACACTCCGTCCTACGCCAAAGTCTAGGAGCCTCTTTGTACCTCCTAGCCAATTACTACTCCGTTATCCACGAGACCGTAAATGCGCGCATGCGCGGCGACGAGGGTGATCTAGCACTGAAGACATCATCAGGCCGCCGGCTTCTGAAGGCGCGTAACAAGGTGTTCTCAAAGCAAATGCTAATGTTGAACAACCTCCGAACGTATGCCGGCTTCCTGAACTGGGAAGTCGCCATCGGCGGTCGATTTCCAAAAAAACGATATAACAGTATCATAACTTGCATCGAAAAGTGCGTGTCCCTCACCCTCTACTACCCATCTTGATATACCCAATACTAACTACCACCAGCATCGTAAGCTACCTCAGTCTCCTAGGCTACGCCTCCGACACCCTCCTGCAACTCGACGGCGACGACGAATCCGACTCCGCCTGGGTCCACGACTTCAAAAGACTAGTCGCCAGCGCCCGCGTCACAACCCACGAAATCACCACCGTGCTCTGTCTCCTATCCGCAAGCATAACAAATCGTCAACCGCTACCTCCGTATCTGAAAACACCCCGTCCATACAGTTTTTCCAAGCGTCTGGAGGCGCTTGACAAGGATATTCTCAGCCTGAGACACATCGCAGAGCCAGGGTTCGCTACGTTTTCCGTCCTGCAGATCTCGACACGTTGCATTGTGGGTGATGTGGAGAGATTGATGAGGTGAGTGGTTTCCTTCCTTCCACTTCATTCATGAACCTGGAAAGAGATTTGCTAATGAGTGTTATTTATTTGGTTTAGGGACGTCAAAGCCCTAGTAGGCGAGTTGGACTTCTCGTTTCATGCTATAAGTACGGCGCATAGTGTCAAGTCGTCGGCGGAGGTGTCGCGGCTTTCGAGACCGCCGTCGCGCGATAAGATGGATTAATTGGTTGATTGATTGATGAGGCATGAGTGAGTGAGTGATTGATTGATTAATTGATGTATATACCCGATAGATAGTTTGATGTTGTTGCCATGTTGTCAGGAGTATGCGATGGCATTAGTCCTAATTGATGTTGTATACAAAGTAGCGCAGACCAAGAACCTGTGCACCATAGTATCTATCCTATCAAAGCAAAACAATGAATAATTCTACTTAATCAGAGACCATATCTATATTTCGAACATATCCCCTATCTCCATCATATTAGCAACCATTAAATACTCCTTACTTACTACCTACAGTCGCAATAACCGACAACCCCGCATCTCCTCAAACCCCCTCTCCTGCCCCATCACACCATTTAGTACTTAACTTACTATACAACCAATCCACATACTCACCCACCCCATTCAACCACACCCCCAAACCCAACTAGTATATATACATAATGACCACAACCAACCCAACAATCCTCATAACCGGCGCCGCCGGAGGCATCGGCCTCGCCACATCGCGACACTTCAACGCCCTCCACCCGACCAGCACCATCATCCTCACGGATCTGCCCACTCACCAAGAGACCACTGAATCCCTGATCCAGGGTACATTCCCGCATCCGGAAAGGGCAGTCTTCCTTCCCGCTGATATACTGGACTGGGGACAGATGACACGTCTGTTTAGGACGATTGCACGGGAATATGGGGGTGTGGATGTGGTGGTTGCGAATGCGGGGATGATGGAGTCTACGGCTGTTTTGGATTTGGAGGATGTTGATGAGGAGACGGGGGAGTTGAGGGAGGGGTTGGAGGCGAGGAGGGTGGTGGGGGTTAATTTGTTGGGGAGTTTGAGTAGTATGTTTATCTTTCTTGTTTTCTGCTTTTGTCCTTTGGGGAGTGTTGTGCTAATGGTGTTGATGATGGTGTGAAGCGCTGCGATTGGCAATGTATCACATGAAAGAAAAGGAGAAGAAGAACGGGTCAATTGTGCTGGTGGCTTCTACGTCGGGGTATTTTGGAGGAACGGGTGTCACGGCTTATGTGGCTTCTAAGCACGGTGTTGTGGGGTTGCTTCGGGCATCGCAAGTGACAGCGCAGAAGTATGGCATTCGGGTTAATGCCGTTGCGCCGTTTATGACCCCGACTAGAATGACGGCTGGTTTGTCTCAGAGCTGGCAGGATGCTGGGCTTGAGGCGAACTCTCCTGAACGGGTAGCGGAGGTTATTGAGCAGGTCGGGATGGATACGGACCGAAGGGGCTCTTGTATGCTGGTGAGTACACTGAATCGCAGGAGTGATTGTGATATACAGTCGCACTAAAGGACTTATGTGTTAGGTTGCTGGAAGATTTCTCAGAGAGATGGAGTCGACAAGGATGGCATTGCTCCCATCATGGCTAGGTCAAGATGTTGCGGATTTCATGGCGAAAGCAATGAAGTTTATTGCAGATATCGGAGGCTATGTGCTTCCTGCTCGTCTGTAGAGAGATTGGTTACATGCTTTCATGTGAATGGTGTCCTCCGGGATGGCATGGAGCAACTCTTCTACAACTCTTTACATCACTGCTCTGGGATTAAGTCACCGAGGCCAGAGCCCACATACCAGTCATTGCGCGGCAGCCCCTTTGCCCCAGTAGCCAGAGTTTGACCCTGAGTTTCCAAGACGGAGGAATGTGAGGACCACCAATAAGGCAGCTCGTGTATCATAGCTGTGCTGAGCCAATCGTCACAGCTGCCCAGTAACCAGCCCTCATCCCCATGTTCAGCTTAGGTGCCTGTATCTCCCCAGGAACATGTGCCTCTACCACGCGGTCTGTGCCCTGCCCCTTGCATTTCGTACTCTCATCATCTGTCCTTTTCAAGTGCTGTAGCAGACCCCTTCCAGAACGATGTTAGCCTAGTGCGAAGTCCTATTTGACCAGCGTATTCCTCCACGTGTCGTGGAAACTGTACAGCGTGCCCGCGGAAGACCTGCGGTACTATCCCCTATGGGAGTTGAATATATTGAATTCAGGCGTGCGAAGGATGGCCTGGAGCCGCAGCTTTGCAATTTTGCAAGCTCTCAGAACCTGGTCGAGGTTGCCAGCGCAGAGCATCTGCGCCACAATGCCGCGGCGAATCTGGCCGCGGAATGGAAACCCGGTGTTAAAGAATGGCTGGTCCTGACCTGCGTCTCTTTATTGATGACAATGGATGCTTTCAACGCGACCGTAGTGCTTCCCCTGATAGCAGTATGTGTGTTCATATGTCCGTCCTCATCTAAACGACTGATCACCTGATATGGATAGAGCAGAACTTATCAGCCACTTCTGAACAGCCACTTGAAAGCATACTATGGATTGAAGCATCATATCTCCTGGCTAGTGCGGCAAGCCAGCCATTCTCTGCCATGCTCGCAGCAATTTTCGGATCAGGGCCTATTGCCCTTGGGGCCGCTGTGCTGGCCACAGTCGGAACAGGGGTCTGTAGTGGTTCGATGAGCTTAGCTTGTCTGGTTCCAGGGCGGTTTGTCCAAGGCGTAGGCTGTGGAGGAGTAATTGCGACCTCCTTTTTGATGCTAGAAGAAGTCATCCCATATCCTCACCAGGCCCGATTTACTGGGTATGCCTTTCAGACTCGAGTGATCGGGGCCATTGTTGGCCTCATCTTCGGTGGGTTGCTTGTCGATCACGCCGTCTGGACCTTTTATGCCAGTTTCGGCTTCTGCGCACTGGGACTTCTGGTCATTCCGTTCGCAGTTGAGTTGCGGACCTACAAGCGTATCGCAAAGTGCAAGGCGTGCGAGCTTGACTGGCAGGGTGCTGTGTTGACCTTTATGGGAATGGGCTGTCTTCTCATAGGCGTCAATTGGGGCGGGATATTATACGAATGGAGTAACTGGCACGTTTTGGTAGTTCTTGGTGCTGGGGCAGCCTCGATCATCGTCCTAGTCCTGTACGAGAGTCTGTGGTCAGTACACCCGCTTTTCTCATCAAAAATATTCAGCAGCATCGCAAGGACCATGTTGTACCTAGGTAGCTTGCTGCACGGGTTCTTGGTAAGTTATCAACTTGTGGAAACGGACGAAAATCACTGACTTGCGATAGTTATTCTGCCATCTCCTCAACTGTGCCTTGTATCTAAGACAGATCCAAGAATTATCGTCTGCAATCGAAGGGCTCAGTCTCCTCACGATCATCAGTCCGGCATTGTTAGCACTCATTCTGACAGAAAAGGTGAGACTGTTGCGAGGCCCGAACACCTTCCCTTGGATGGTCCGGATCGGATGGTTGTGCAGCGTCCTTGCGACAAGCTTCTTCATTATCCTAGACGTCAGCACTCCACCTCAAATATGGGTTTTCATCTTGCTTGGCGCAGGAATAGGCCACTCCTTGCTTATTTCCGGGTACCATCGAGGTGTGCACCATATACACCAGCCAAGTAGAGATAGTGAGCACTATCCAGCATCAAGCATCCTCATGTACTCTCTTCTGCGGACGTGGGGGATGTGTATTGCTGTTCCTGTTGGCGGGGCGATCGTTTTGCATCGAATAGTGAGGGTGGAAGGCGCAGAGAGAAGTCACTTTGATTTCCAAGAAGACGAAGCCTCCTTGTCGCAGCAGGGTAGGGATCAGAAGGAGATGCTTGTAGGTGGGTTTCACATGCTATGGCGAGTTATGGTTGGAGCTTCTGCTTTAGGAGGTGTAAGCTCGCTGTTTGTGAAATGATGTATAGCAGGTTGTGATGTGACATTAGGAAACGATTGAATGCATGTATTGAACAATATTCACATACCGGTAAACATGTAGAGGAGAAGGCTACTCGTTGTGCAAGATATAAGTCGGTGGGATGGATGAAATAAACGGGAAGGAACTTCAGCTTCACGACATCCATCATCTACTTTCCCGACCAGTTACTACACACAAGAAAGATAGAACGGGGAATCACACTGATTCATTAGGCCAACACATGTAACCTAGTTCAAAGACTAAATCCAACTCAAAAGAGACATTCAAAGCATCTCGCTAACAAACATTGGCATACTAGAGATGGTATCAAAAGACAAACAACATCGCTTCAAACCCCAATATAGCAAATTAACCAAGAGCAATACATCGTAGAGATACCTCAACGGAGGCAAGTTACATCATTCAATCACTGCCCCTCTTCAACTTCGTCATACTCATCATCATCATCATCATCATACTGATCCTTATTCTTTCTAGGATGAGGCGTGGGCACTCTCTTCAACGGAGCACCGAATTCATAATCATCAACCCCCATAAACTCGACGGCTTCTCCTTCAATAACACGGATGCTCTGTTCATCGTCTTGGGTAGTAGGCTCCTCGACAACACCATCAATAGCAAAAGGAGAATGATGGGACACCTTCTGCTTCTTTTTCGGCGGCTCATTGTCGTTGCTATTAGACTTAGAGATCCACATAGAGGCGGTTGGCTGGTTCTTGGTTTTGACGACCTTGAGCCAGTTGGAAAAAGACACAATTTTGTCCATTTCGACTGTTGTTGGTTGTAAAAAGAGGATGGTTGGTTTGGTTAGAGGGAAGAGAAGAATAGATGGATAGCAGCTTGCAAGAGCAAAAGCAAGAGCAAGTAGAGTAGCTAGAAGTGTGTTCTTTAAATGAACTTCAAGCGTAGTAAATGAAGGAGTAGGTAGTTAGAGGAGGGAAAGAGTAAAAGAATTCAGCTTGGAAGGAACGGGGGGCTCTTATACTTCCCTTCAAATTAAGGTTTATGACTCCTTCTATGTTCTATATATCACGTCTACCTTATCGACGCTACCTCTTTGGGCCAATAGCTGAGTTTGATCGGTAACTACTAGTAGTGGTTCCACGGGATGGGGGTAATGCACAGCCCTATAGGGATACATGGACATGTGGTGTAAACACATCCTTACGTCTACAACATCTAGACTTGACACACTCTCCAAGTGTTGAGGTATAGTGACATCAGAAAATGTAGTGAAATTGGTCTGGTTTGTTATTATCAAGTTCGTTCTCTACTTCGCGTATATATGTACAAGTTTCGTCTATGTCATCCTGTGCGGCAAGGATGAGGTCACAAATGAGTTCAGTAGTAGGTTGTATCGCATATTGATCATGATCATTCGAGCAAATCTCACAACTCATAGCGAGAAGTCCTCCTTGCTCGTCAAACGGATTTATTAGATTGTAGAACAAGTTCAAACATGATCGTTATAGCAGCTTGTATGTGCACATACCGTACGGTGCATTGTTATCGTGATACATTGATGTATGAGAAGTCGCTTGGCTACTTCGTGTCTTCTTAAAGAAAAGGGTAGATCCTGAATCGGTTTTGATGCAAAGAACATTCGATCGCAGGATGATGCATCTACGGATGAAGGCCTGTTTGGGGTGAAGTATATCCGGCTCGGCTATCCAGATTAGGCCTTTGTTCCTATTTTGGGATAACGGGTGGAAAGTTTAATTACCGACAGCCATCTTATCAGATTTTTGTATTGTATACTCGTCGCTAAATGTACTTGAGCAATTGACAGAGAATAATGTCATTGTGTTGGTCGGTTATCAACCACATTAGGGTCGTGAACAACTCCCCATGAGTAATTATAGAAGTAGATACACGAAAGGTAACTTATGAACAACACCGCGTCCCCTGATTACATCCACTGCTATATAGTGTAAATGAGTTAACTCATTTACAGGTTGCCCTGACCGGCGTTAGCAACAACGCTAGAGGCAACAGAGGTGTAAGCCGAAGCAGAGGCAATGTTCTTGCCCTCGAAGTCAGAGAGGAAAGAGGTGCTGTCCTCGGAGAAAGTGCCGGAGGAGCCGAAGCCGTTGATGACACAGTCACGGCCAAGGTAGGTGGAGCAGACTTCACCGGCGGTGGTGGAGGGGACAGTGAAGGCCTCGCCCTCATAGGTCTCAAGAACAGTGTCGACGTTCTGGAAAACGTTGCCCTCAGCCAAGACGTAGCCACCCTCACCGATCTCGAAGGCGTGGCCGGAGATGTCGTACCAGTAGTTGTTGACCTGTGGTAATGATTAGTTAAGTCGAAAGTGACCGGCAGATATAGAACTTACAGCGTGGAGGAGAGTGTTGTCCTGGACCTTGGGGGAACGGCCGGAGGTGTGGTAGATGTAGTTGCCCTTCAGGGTGACCAAGTCGGCGTCACCGTCGAGGTAGATGGCCCAGTAGTGGTAGCCATCGCAGGTGGCGGAGTAGTCAGAGACACCGTCAATGTAGTTGTTGGTGAGAGAGACGCGGTTGTCGGCGCTGGTTCCGAGGACGTAGTGCTGGCGACCAATGCGGGCGGTCTATCAATTGTTAACTTGATGCTCTTGATTTAGTAGAAGTGAAGAAGTGAAGGCTTACAGTAACGTGATCGATCCAGACCAGGTCGCAGTCATCAAGAGTAATAGCATCACCACCCCAGACGTACTTGGGGTTGATGTCGGTAACGGCGATGTTCCTGATTTTATTAGAGCAATTTCATAATGAAAGCAAGTATAACCTACTGGATGATGATGTTCTCAGCACCGCTGACAATGCGGAGACCCTTGCCCTTAATGGCACCAGAGGAGCCCTCACCGATGAGGGACTTGTTGGAGGTGACGGTGATACCGAGGGTACCAGCGTTGTAGCTTTTAAAAGTTAGGTACGAGATCAAAAGCGGATGACAGCCGGCAAGGACATACTATTCAACGCTGACAGAGGGAGCATCGGGCTCGTAGTTCTCGCACCAATCGTCCTGGTCAATGGCAACCTGGCAAGCGGAAGCGGTACCCCAGGGAGCGCAACCAGTGCCAGTGGTGGTACCTTCGCTGTCGGTGAAGTCGAAGGTCTTGGTCAGGACAATGACGCGGGCCTCATCATCTCCGAGGTAGGAGACCAGCTCATCGATAGTGTCGGGGTAGACGGGGGTGGCACTGCCACCACCGGTAACGCCCTCGGCGAAACCCTCAGCAGAGCCGGACACGCCGACGGCAGCGGCGGAACCAGCGAAAACAGCGGCAGCAGCGCTGAAGATAGTGGAGTACTTCATGGTGAAGTGTTTAGAACCAGCTAAGAAGGGGAAAGAAAGACTAAAGTGAAGAGAGAGGTATGCAGAGGAAAGGAAAGGAAAGGAAGGAATGGTTTGATACAGAGAAGATGTCAACCTGGATGGGATTGGGGCTTTTTATAGGGAAGACTGACTCGTCAGGTTGACGGAAGCATCTGACAAGAATCTGATAGAGGTTCACCTTTGGCTCAGACCCATTCTGGGTAAATAGGACGGATGATCAGTGTGAAACGGCCAAGTGCATCTTTGATTAGTAGCCAAGGGCTATCTAGCCAAACCGTTGATTCTTCTCGGTCACTCCACCGGCGCTAAAGTCGGTACTGACCGAGCAGGTAGTCGAAGGAGATCCATCATATCGGACCATGGATGGAGTGATAGGCATCGATGGCAACCAAGATTGGAAGGGGAGAGAGGAGTAGTAGCCACATGGTTTGTCCATCGCGGTGATGGCCCCTGTTCGTGGACAGTGAGCTGGGTGGTCCACTGTGCTACCTGGCTGTTGAAGGTCATAGGTGGACCTTGGGAATGAATCGGGGGATTTACGGCGTTTCATGATGCCCGCGCCGGCGCACTTAGTCTCGGTAGTCTAAAGTAGTCCATCCACTCGGGCTGGTGGGCCTCGCGACTGAAATTCTGTAAAGAAGCAATTCCTCCGTCTTGGCAGTGTCCTTGTGGCAATGATAGTCGGGAAAATACCGAATTCGACCATCAGGGTGTAGCTAGTAGTTTGAGGATGTTGCGGATGGAAGGCTGGACGTGCTTGACAGTTAGGGCTGTTCATCACTGATGAAGAACAAGAGGGGAACCGAGGGGGCGATTCTGCATCACCATTCCAGCGGCTTTGAAGAGTTTTACTTCGTTGACTTCCACTGACACCGATTTTGTTTCAATTATTAATGGCTTCAATACCTCCCCACGCCTCTTTCTATCTTAGTCGGTCTTCTGGTCAAATGAGAGCAGCTGGAAAAGCTGCGCGAAATAAGAAAAAAACGAATTAGGCGTTCTTGGTAAGGCGCCAGGAACGCCAGCCAAGTGGTCCACAGTGGAACCGTCTTCGGGTTTCGGTGATAGCAATACACCAGTGACCACCCATCAAGTCGACGGCCGAGCTGCTATTACTCCTCGATTCTCGAGTCCAGTGCAGAATTTTAGCCATCCAATTTTAGCATCGACCTAGTTGACTGACTGTTGATTTTGTCATCTAGTTTGGACGGCTGAGTGGTTACGATAAGGTGGAAAATTGTCGGACTCCGTAGGCATCAATTACCACTCATTCGTATCACAAATCAGGGGGAATGGGGTAACGTTGCCCCTATCAATCACATTTCCGGTCCATCTGCACACTATACTGAGACATTTTGCTGTTAAGCTTGGATTCCGGCGTCTTGGCTCATCAAGCTTCGAAGCCGTAGAAGGAGCTTATTCCACGCCAAAAGAAGATACTGAATCAGACAATACGGGGTGATAGTCTAATTAAACCCCATCTATGTGGTCTGTCTAGCCTGTCTAGAACCTGGTGAGCCACATCGCGGTACCACTCGCCCTTCGACGGGGACCGTAACATCACCCCAGTTGGAGCTATCGAGCTAGGCCAGCTACGATCAGACGCTTGGGTACCGGGCGCTCGATAGGGGTTAATTATTGACTTCTTGTCACTCAAGATTATGCTTAACCGAAACCAGCATCTTCCCCGAGGCTGTCGTGTTTACCTCTGATGACTTCCTTGATATTGAATACGATACCTGCCGCTTGCAAGTGCTGCGCCCAATGGATTGGCTAGTCCTCGAAGTGGCAGCCAAACCCCGCTCTTGGACAGCATCACGAGTTGAGGGTGGGAGCAATCATGAGCTCGCATGATATTATTGCAGAAAGTAGGTTGGTGATATATTGTCTGAGTAAATGACCAAGGGGTATTCGGAACCACCCGGAAGAGACGTGTTGGTTCTAGCCTTACGAAGGCCACCGTTCACTTCAAACGTCGAGCTCTCTCGGCGTTGGTCCTTTACTTTGGGTCATAATAGACAAGTTCATTCCGTAATATGCTTGAATGAAGCGCAATTTTCCATCAATGCCTTGAGGGGAGTTGAGATGTCGAAAGTCAACCGGCAAGCCGCAGTCGGGGATGGATATCCGCATGACGGGAGAGAATTCATGCAGGAGTAATATAGATTCGTCATTCCCAGGCCGCCACCGGCATTTTTCTGCATGTTGATGGGCCACCGATGCAGGCTACTGCAATGTGATAAAGTGCGGGTGATGCATAATTCCACTACCGCACACGAAGGAAGCAAGCGTGAGTGGAATTCCACCAAGACGAGAATGAGATTAGAATGGTGGAGATGCCCAATTGGGAATAGTTTTGATGCCTGATATTGTGGCCTCTTATTGCCCTACTGCCTTATGGCCTTGAGGCCTTGTGGCCTTGACACCTATAATCTCTGCCTTAGCGCCTTAGACTGTTGATGCCTTGACGCCTGATACTCATGGCTTCAAATTGCCTGCCTTACAGCCTTAGGCATCAATGTTTCGGAACGGCAAATGATTTCGGCTCCGTTTCCCCTTTGGGATATTGCCTGTTGGCCGAGCATACTCGAGTTACACGGACGTAGAAGAGGACAGTGGGGTTAGATATCAGTAAGGGACGCTATGCCTGCTCTCATCAAGCTACTTACTCGGATTGAACACAATTTGGCTTCACTTGGCTTCCGATTGAAGGTCACTGAGTGGAATTATATTCAATCCAGTGCCTCGCCGTGTATCCCCGACGCTTGCAATTAGGCTTTGCGTGATTGGCCAGCAATAGCTGAGTCAGCCATTTGCCGGCCGCCAGACCCGAGGTTACCTTGAGCTGCCAAAGGCGACAAAACATCGCCAGAACCGATCGACTTCACTTCCTCGTGCCTCCCTTGGACCTCGTTTGTCGTTGCCGCTGGCTGGCTGCTCTTCTTCCAGGCCTCTCTCCTCTCTCTCCACCGCAATCGACATTCTTTCGGTCTCCTTGACCTCTCCTACTCGCGCATATCCTATTTTTCGCCATCTGGTAGATCCCTCGCCCCCCCGATCGACCGTGATCTCTTTCTCGACCGCCCACAATGGCTGCCCTTCGCACGACCTCGCGCCTGTTCGCTTCCTCGAAGCCGCTGTTCCGCCCAGCCGCCTTCACTCGCTCCTATGCGACCGTTGACGCCCTTTCCCAGGTGAGCGCAAGCGGCCACGCGAGCAGCAAGACCATTCCCGAATCTAAGACTTCGAATGTGCAGGACCCCAACCCCTCGGAGCAGCCCCGGGTCAAGACTTTCCATGTCTACCGCTGGAACCCCGATCAGCCCACCGAGAAGCCCAAGATGCAGTCTTACTCCCTGGATCTGAACAAGACCGGTCCCATGATGCTGGACGCCCTGATCCGCATCAAGAACGAGATGGACCCCACCCTGACTTTCCGGAGAAGTTGCAGAGAGGGTATCTGTGGAAGTTGCGCGATGAACATTGACGGTGTCAACACCCTGGCTTGCCTGTGTATGTTGTCCTGGAGTGCTTGAAGCGATGTCCCGGCTCGGTGGCGCTGACCTTTTGCTGTATAGGCCGTATCCCCACCGATACCGCCAAGGAGTCTCGCATCTACCCTCTCCCTCACACCTACGTCGTCAAGGATTTGGTCCCCGATTTGACCTACTTCTACAAGCAGTACAAGTCGATCAAGCCTTACCTGCAGCGCGACACCCCGACCGCGGATGTAAGTATTGACAGCGTGTGCTGCGTTGTGAGCTTTTCACTGATAAGTGTATAGGGTCTCGAGAACCGTCAGAGCCCCGAGGAGCGTAAGAAGCTGGATGGTCTGTACGAGTGCATTCTGTGCGCTTGCTGCTCTACCTCCTGCCCCTCGTACTGGTGGAACAGCGAGGAGTACCTTGGACCCGCCATCCTCCTCCAGTCCTACCGTTGGTTGGCCGATTCCCGTGACGAGAAGACCGCCGAGCGTAAGGCCGCTCTCGACAACAGCATGAGCGTGTACCGTTGCCACACCATTCTCAACTGCTCGCGGACCTGCCCCAAGGGCCTGAACCCCGCACGGGCCATTGCGGAGATCAAGAAGATGATGACTGCTCATTAGAGAAGTGACACGAGATCTAAAAAGAATTGCTTTCTCTTTGTGCATTACGTCTTGTGTGGCTGGGTATTTTTCCTTCTTTCCTATCCCATTTCTTTTTGGTTAATTCGTGTCTGAGCTTTATTCCCTCCATCCCCGAGGTCTTTCATGTCGGATGTGTTTCAATAGGTGTAAATTGTGAATGTGATTTATAGCCATGGCGGTCAGCCAGTGATCAATTGAGTATATACTATGGATGATCTAGCGTAGGAATGTGTAGGGTACTGATGATAATTATCAGGCTGTGTCAATTCGGTTTTCATATATGATATATATACTGGAGGGATACACCGTTATTTCATTCGATTCAATGTGGCACCGCAATCCAAATCATTCAATTCATGGACTACAATTCTGTAAATGTTTAGAATCACACGATATCAAGTGGTCTAGAGTACACTGGTCTAGACCTGGTATCCGCCAGTTCAACTTATATATATCGCCGCTAGTACCCGGCATCATCATGATTGAGTATACTATAACAGTAGTAATGAATTGTGTCCTCACATCTCAAGATTATAATTCATAGTAAAGACAAAATCTAGTAATTGATACTAGCAGTACTTCAAACCCTACTACCAACAATCAATCAATACAATCTCACATAATCTATATATACTAAGATAGATCAACAACCACATGAGATATAGTATAGTAATATAAAAACCAAAACCCCCTCACACAACCCCCAACCTCAAACTCCCAAAGCCAACTACTAGTAATTGAAAGAACAATTAATACCTTCCCCCCGACCCCAAAACCTCAATACACCTCCCAACCGCCTCCTCCATCCTAGCCGTAGCCTCCTCCACCAACCCCGTCACGCCCACCCCCTTCTCCCCAGCCCTCCTCTCCATAACACCCACCCACTCCCCATTCAACACCTTATTAATATTCACCTTACTAACGCCCGCCCCAACACAGCGATCAAAAATCCCCTTATCAAACGGATCCGCCCCATGCAACACCAACCTCACCCTCTCCCCGACCCTCTCCCTAATCCTCTCCAACCGATCATACTCCAACCTTATCCCACGGGGTCCATAACTCCCATGCACATTCCCAAAAGCCGGAGCTAGCCAATCAATCCCCGTGTTGACGAACTCCTCCGCCTCCTCGGGGGTCGTCAACACCCCCTCCAGGTCCGCAGTGTCCGAGACGCCGTCTTCCCCGCCCTCAATCCGCCCGGGTTCGGCTTCTGTTGCGATGCCCCGCTCGTGGCAGTAGGCCACGAGTTCGCGCGTTAACGAGAGGTTCTCTGCTTTCTCGTAGTGTGACATGTCGATCATGATGCTGTCGAACCCCGGGGTGATGTCTGCTGCTTGGCGGACTATTTCCGGTGTTTGTGCGTGGTCGAGGTGCACTGTTATGGGGACGCTGGCGTTGCGGGCCGCTTCGGCGGCGGCGTGCACGAGGATGGACCCGGCGTATTGCAGCGCCCAGGGGAAGAGGAGGATCATGGCTGGGGAGCGGTGCTTTTCGGCGGCGCGGACTGTTGCGAGGATGCCTTCTAGGTTGTAGCAGCACATGGCGGGGACGCCGTAGTGGTGCTGATAGGCGTGGTCGAGGATGGGGAGGGCGCGGTTGTTGGGGAGGGGCATGGTGGTGGTGGTGGTGGTGTGTTGGTTGAGAGGGAGGGGATGTAAGTGATGAGATGGGGGTATTGAAGAAGTAGATTAGTTGTGTGAGTATGTGTGAAGGGTAGTCTTATAGTTCTGTCGCAACGGAATGGTTCATGTTGACTCCACTATTTACAGCCGGAGTTGCTCCGACCCATATGAGATCATTCCTGATGATATTAAATCCTGGTTATTTCGGCGGCTAAGTCTACGGATAAACACGGATTACGCTGGTGCTGGCCTCCGACCCATACCCTTGGCCCTTGGACATCAATAATACGTTCAGTGCTGCATTGCCGAGATGGAGCGGGCAGTGCATGTCCCGCGCCTTCTGCACCACCTTCTCTAACCGACTCACCACCGCATCCAAAGCTTCTGAGCCAGCTGGCGCCTGTGCGCCGATTTTACCTTCAATCATCTCCAGTCCTCTCGTGACGAATACCTTGCTTCCACCGGCTGCGTCGCTGACGAGTTCGAAGAATTGCGCCATATCGACACCTAGTGACCGTGCGAAAGCGATGGCTTCCGCAGCCGCGACAAGGTTTACACATTGCATGAGGTCAAGCACAAGCTGTAAAGCGGTTTCTGGATCTCCGCTTGCCGAAGAAGTATCGAGGTCTTTGAGTGGATGCGAGTAGTACTGGCGGATCATAGCGGAGTCGTCCTTGGGGCCGTAACCTTGTACAAGAGCGGAGAGGTAGATCTGCTCTGCAGTCGCACAGAGCGGGACTGGAAAGTTATTCTGACGGGCTGAAGTAGTAATAATGCCCTGATAATGTCAGTACGTGTGGTAAAAGCAGGGGTAGGCGCAACCTACAGCATCCTTCAAGATGATTGTCAGAGCACTCGCCCCGGGATTCCAATCTTCCTCCACCATCCTAGGAAAACGGTTCTCGTGCATCCAGGTCCACGCTTCTGAGCTCTTAATCCGCTCTGCTGTATTCACTGCGTCCAGGCCCAGATGCGCCGCGAATCCCATAGCCTCGCTGGCACCCAAGATGTGGATGGCAGCCAGCACCTGATGTACCATCTTCATGTTACTGCCGGCTCCCACTCCTCCAGGGACAAGGTAGAGCTTGCTTGGGGCAGACATAGTCTGCAGCACATCACGCGCAATTTTTAGCGCAGAGTCGGCACCGCCCGCCATGATGGAGAGGGTGCCATCCGCGGCGCGCTTCGCACCTCCTGAGACTGGCGCATCAACAAAGTGGATATCTGATCGACCTCGAGAGGCAAGTTCTGCCGCGACAGATTGTGCATATGAGGCGGCGACGGTAGAGCAAAGGAGGAGGGTTGCATTTTGGGGGAGGTCTATCATGTTAGCTTGAGGGAATCAATGGCTAGGGAGGTACATACATTGTACAACGCCCTCATCTCCGAAGAGGACGGTTTGCGCCTGCGGCGCCGATGCTACCATGCACACGTAGAAAGGCTTCCCTTCCGCTGATTCACGCAGCGAGGAGGCGGGTGTGCCCCCCGCAGCTTGAAACCGCTGCACCGAGGCTGGAAAGACATCGAAGCCGTAAACAGGGTATCCTTCATGAACAAGATGGGTGGCCATGCCGAAGCCCATGGCTCCGAGGCCGACAAAGCCAATGGCTGGTTTAGACATCTTCAATTTCAATTATGCGCTTTAGCTTCCTGAGCTGTAATCTTTGTCGTGTGGACCGACACCATTTATGGAGGGGAAATGGGTCGCTGTGAAGTCCGAGGACGTGGGGGATACCGTGGGGGGTTCGGAGGCGGTCCGATCAACACAATTGCTGGTGGACCCTGAACACTGCTAGTCGCATCACCTTTACACATGTCTCCTCCGAGCTTGGGACATCCTCCGAAACCCTTGCCCCGAGGGAAGGACCCCCGAGTTGTTCTGGCGCTCGGTCGGTCGCTGTTGAAGCCGACACTATGAGATATCACGAGTTGATGATCGGCAGGTCCGTTGATAGTCCCGCCCACTTCCCGATCCATCGCTAATGTTGACGGTAATGTGATGCTGTTAATATCTATCATGCTATCATGAAAATAGACGGCAACAGCAGTCATTGTGGCTGCAGAACATAGCTCGCATGGGATGAAATTTGTGGGTGCTTGGGCCAAGATCTCAACTTAAACCCCAAGTATTACCCGCTAATAGCCTCCATGCATCGGTGAACTCAGGTTAGCTCCAAGAAGATTTACGCTGTCTTTTCAGTTCTCATTCAGGTTGCAACGCGTACAGAAATCAGGCTTGGAGCTTTCAGTAAAATCGTTGCAAGCGGCTTGCATGGGACTAGAATTGCTTAAGCGATCATCAGCATTCCAAACAGCGTGCACCACATAAGGGCAATCTAGGACTGGAGAGTACAGATAGATGTGCCATACAGCATGTTTTAGTTAGCTTTGGGGTCCAATTGTAAGAAGCAGCCGACCGGAGAGAGCAACCTGACAACATGTTGGCAATTAGTTTCCTCACCTAGAGCTATGCCGTCATGCAGGCAGATTGCGCAAGCTCTCCTGTATCATTTGAGACATCGAAGTATAGGAAGAAAAACGTGCCTAGGGAGAATAAAAACAGGCAACATATATCAGGGCTGTAATTTAGCAGCTCAAACATGAGCCAAGTAGAAACGTCAACGCTTATTTCGCAACCACCAGTGTCAATTATAGAGACCTAGGAATACCTAGATTACAGAGGTGGCTAAACGGATTCAATTGAATCCTATATCTTCCACACCATGATCTGAGAAATACCTAAACCTTGTGAAACCCTCATACCACCTAATTCCACTGTTAGTTCAGGAAAACCAGAGTGTGCAGAGACAGCTCAGAATGGTCAAGACTGAATGCCTACCTAGGGTGTCCAGTAAAGACCAAAAAAGGACCAAGAGTCCGAGGCAAAGAACACAATGGATGTGCTCGGACAGTCTTCCAAGTATCCCTAAGAAGTCCCAACAGCCAACCAGACGCGCAATGCGCAGAAGTTACTGTAGAAGAGAGCCGGAAGACCCATCTAACCACGCAGGACCCCGACCGGCCAGTGACGAACATCTGACCGAGTCGGGAAGATAAGTCCTGGCATGTTCTGAAACGTACATGGTTCAGACAACCGTAGCTCTGGACATGGATGCACCCGGGGACGGAAGATTGCTCCGGCTGCTGGCCGGATGCCATGACATCTTCTGTGGCCTGGCTGTATGGGGATCACGGTCGCAGTCAGTACAGGATTCCTCGCCAGTCGAAAGGACAACTCGCATGCTTGAGTAGACAAGGAAATTCTACATACCCCGGCAGGTCAATCCGAGTGAGTTTCGCCAAAGCATCGTCAAGCGACGGGTAAAGCGTCGCCTTAGGGCATGGAAACGCGTCTCATCGGAGTCAATTCGCTGGACCCCAGCAACGGTGTTAAAAGCTGCTTATCCGTCAAGCTGTATATACAGTGGTGAGAAGTTCCGAGGACTTCATCTTGGTTTCATTCAGCTGGAGGAGTGAGACGCAGAGCATGGTTGAGGTGTTCATGAAGGAGAGAGAGAGAGATCAAAGGGGAAGGCAAGTGTCGATCGCAAGGAGTTAACTTCCGATGAGTAATGGCAGGAACTATCCTAGCTTGTGCTGTCTCTCTCACTGCTACGTTGTGGGTGGAGCTTTCTTTTGTCTAAACCCCAGCAAATGGCCCCCAAATCAGATATGTGGATGATGTCGAAGCAAACACCGACACAAGGAAAGCAGAACCGAGAATCATACCAATGATGAGGTTATCCAACTTTGCGCAACATAAAAGACATCACAGGGGAAATCCGAGGAAACTACGTCAAAGCATTCCAGTAGACCAACTCATGACCTCGCCAAGTTTCAGAAGTTCAAACTAAGTGGAAGGATGAGCGCCCGTCATTCTTGGGACTCAGTTTGGTACAATCTTGGCCGTGGCAGCGCCCCTCGTATTTTTAGCCTTTCCCTGCCACAACTCACAAGGCTACCCTGTACACTTGCAGATCAAGAAGGCACTGCCCTGAAATCCTAGCCACGAAGGAATGCCCAGAGTTCCCCGCCCCTACCTGAACCACTCGCGTGAGAGCCTTTTCCCCAGACCAATGTTTGCCTAGTAATTAGGCTCAATCTCAGCCTCGTCGTAGGAGCCTAACGGCCACTTCATTCCCCCTGCCAATCGCTTGGATCTCCCTCCCACAAACGATTGATCGATGTGTGTCTCATCCCAGAGGTCACCGGAGCACGAGCAAATATAATTTTTCGTATCCAAGTGGCTCGCGATGCGTCCCACAAATAATTCTACGCGTTGGCTCGGACGAGGCTTTGAGCCTCCAATCTAATTAGTACAACTAGTATATAAGAATGCGCCCGGGGATACAAATATCTAAGATAATTTGTTCCTTTCAAGCCTACACTCCAGCGCAAGACTTTTTATTGAAACAGTTTATTTCGACATAACTTCTCAACCGTACCTATCACAATGGCCGAGAACGCAAACCCACGTGCGTTCACCCTAAAAAGGAAGTGCATCATGTACTCCACTAACTTTACCAGCAGCAGCAGCAGTTCCTGCCTCCCCGGAACAACAAACCGAAACCCACGAGCTTCCCTCCAGAGAGCTGCCTGAATGTGCGCAACCTCCAACCGAAAAGACGCCTGAGATCCAACCACATCAGCCCCAGCAGACCTTTTACGCAGGCTCTCAACACCCGAGCGGCTATAATACGCCGACTCCACTGTATGCACTGCAGAAAACGCCAGCACCTGTCGATTGTCCGGCCTGCGGAGAGCGGAAAATGACTCGCGTGGAGGCCGAAACGGGCAGTTCAACTCAGTATGTGCCCGGTTTTTCACAATAATGGATCGAACTAATAATGTGTCCATAGTGCTTGGGCCGCAGTGCTCTGCTGCTGCCTGTGTCTAGGATGTATTCCATATATGGTGTCGTCGCTGAAGGACCAGTGCCATTACTGTGGAAGTTGTGGTGCCTTGTTGGCTACATGGCATAATAGTGGACGCACGGATGTGCATCAGCCTGGCTCGAAGAAGTAATAGGGGTTGATTATGCTGTTGCCTATGCCTGTTTTTTGCGTGTTTCATGTGATACCACTATGAGTCTATTACCATACCCTTGGATATTAGTTGTGATAATTGAGAAACGTTTATGTTTTATCGTCTGCGTGTAGGTGCAGATTTTTGATGCTTAGTTACCCAATGGGAAGTAAGCATCCTAACACAACATATTAGAAGGAATCCAACCTCTAGGTTGATCTCACGCTCACGCTTCTGCCGTAAGCTCTAAACTTACTTGGTTTTGCGAGCTTCACATGACCGAAGGGATATTGACGAAGCACTTTAAAGTACCTCTGCGCATACTCGCATGTGGCAGAATGAACTGGACATATAAACCGGGATCTCTATGGCTGAAGGACAAGTACCCGATTGGGCAATTCCTGAGGTGGTCGCAAGCTCTCAGTTAGTATTATCTCGAACTGCTGATCCTCTTTTGCGGGCCCGTTAACCAACCATGATAGGCCGCATACGAGAACTGGACCCAAGTGGGACCGTTTATTTCAGCCCTAATGGCTGGACCCTGGATCTTTCTACAGCATACATCTTCTGGCGTCCAAGGACATTGATTCCGAAAGGATTCTTTGGCTCTCCCAAGTCAAGCGAGTAATAATTCCATGTCTCGTTGCATCGGCAATGCTGGGAAGAGGCCGATTAGATAAGGAGGGCGGACCAGATGTATGACGTCAAGGATGTTCCTCCGACGAACACGAGAAGGGGCCTGTTCTCTAGAATTTCTATCAACAAAGCTGGAGCTCTCGCTTATGGATGAATCCTCGATTCTCCTGTCCACGACTCATTTACCCTGCATCCACTGCAGCCGGGCACGAATCGGGAGGCCGAATGGTGGTAGAGAACCATGGCCCTGAAAGAGTGGTGACGCCAGCGGGACGAGCGGATCGCCAAACCTTGATCACAATTGATTTCATGACTGTTCCTTATGGTCAGGCATCGCGATACGCGTTATATGGCATGCATATTGGGGAGGAAGCGTTGGGAATGAGCGTGGACGATTGCAATGGCTTCTGTGTAACTGGCGGTGGGCAGATTACACACCTCCCTGTCCGGAGTGCTGCCGCGCCCATTGACTGCCACGAATGGCTTCACCTCGAGCTGTTGTGTGTTGATTGACCCTTGAGCGTCCCGAGTTCGGCTTACCAAGTTACCCTCCTGTCAGAAATAAGCTTCGTGGACCAGCCCATCCAGCGTTGCATGCATGTGCCCTCCTTCACGTCATTGCGATCCTTGCTGTCATGACCTTCCGCTGCTCCCGATGCAGCCAGTCCTACCAGTAACCAGGGTTGTTCATCCGCCCGTCCAACTCTTCCCTTCTCTTTATCCTCCTCGTGTCTTATCATCTCTGCTTTCCGTGCCGTTGTTCTCGCAGGTCGTGGGCATCCTCAATCCATCTTGATCAGTCCTCGTTCACCGAAGCCGCGCGGCCGTTGTTCGTGAGTTGCACATGCTTTGAGGGGATTGATTCTCTGTGGTAGGCTAATAGGAAGTAGATCATGGCCGCTATCGACCTCCTCGCCCTTGAAGCACGGCACCAAGTGATTAAGCGAAGCAACTGGGCCGGCGAGAACCCGGGTGTGGTCCTGGTCTTCTGCATCGTCTTCATCGTTGCTGTGGGAATCATCGCACTCTTCATCTACCGAAAATGCATGGCACGAAAAGCAGCCAAACAGTCATATGAGGTCGAAGCTTGAACCTGTGACTGATCCGACCGATGATGCTGTGATACGAGAGTATTGGAGGAAGAAGGATGGAAGGATGAAAAGGATACGATTTTTCGGGCTGACTACGTCGCTGCAACGATCGATACGCACGTTCTCCTTATCTTTGTGTGCCTTTTGTCCGTCCGTCAAGGATACCCGCTTGTGCTTTGGTGGATCTGGGCGCTGACGGATTGCGTTGATTTAATGAATCTTGGACTGTGTTGGCATAAGGGTACAGAGTCTTAGTTGGATGGGAAGAGAGGATATACTGAATACATACTTTTTAATTATCCCAATTATATTATCCCAACTGAATGATATTTCGACACCTAGACCTTGCATGGTGCTCTCATAGAAACTGGTACATACATCACTGGGGACAAATTTGACTGAATCACCTAAAGTACTACTATGAAAGAGCTGCCACGGCTTGGATGGGCCACATCCGCATGGGACCAGCAGTTGCGCCAATGATGGGACTGCAAGTGGTTCAGATGGCAACGGATCTCGTATTCGGGTTGATCGTCATCAGCACAGAATAAGGTTCGTAGGAAAGCTCCAACTTCTTTAAAAAGATTGACGATGCGCTTGAAGGTCGCAAAAAAGATGTCAGACGCATGCTTCCGTAACTTCAAATTACTTAGTATTTTTCCCATAATAATCTGCCGCTGGTCGCACGGAAGGAGCCTTAGGCGCCCGCCATTTAATTAAAATGCCCTCCTTCCTCTCTGTTTCATCCTTTGTGCTCGCTGCTTCCCTCAGCACCATCACATATTTGACTTTCCTCCACCGTTGTCTCAAAAACCGAATCCATCATGAGACGCATTGCGGTACACTCTCCAAATCGGTTTCTTCCACCATCTCCACGATTCCCTCCGAAGTTTACACACCAGAATACTATGCTCTCCACGATCGAGCTAACCGCCGGGTGCCTCGCCAGCTGCTTCCCCGCCAGAAAGACGCTGAAATCCTGACCATTCTCTTGCGTCGCAACATGACAGCTTTCGCTCACTTCCCTCAGTGCTATATGTTGTGGCTGATCAGTCCAGCCGCAAAACGCCCAACGTTCCATACGTCACATATTGATTCGCTGGATTTCAACAAGGGCGATGTTATCTGCGGAATTTACCGTGTCCTAGACCGAACGGCAAACAAAGTCGAGTTCGGGATGACCTACAAAGGGGTGGATGGGCGATTGGTGATCCGGTTCTGGGATGAGGACAAGGACGTTGTGTTCGCTAGTGAAACTGCGATGTGGACAAAGGCGGATGTAACAGAGCGCGCCACAATGCCACTTGAAAACCCAGTGCTTCGGTTCTTTCATGAACTGGCCGCATGGTGGCTGTTAGATTCCGGAGTCAAATATCTGACGGACTTGGATGCAGAATTGGAGGATGATTGATATCCGATTTGTCCCATCAGTGTGAACCATCAAGAGGGAAACATGCCGTACCGACTATCTCCAAATCCCGACAGCGTTATGGCTTATGATCGGAATCTCAACGAGAACGCAATGGTATTGCTCTCCTACTTTGTCCTCTCCTCCGTATCGCAGACATATAAGCCTCTCTGGAATCCAGGCGTGTGCAATGTTCACAACTGCTCCAAATCTTCCAACGCATCCTATAAAGGCCAAATCTGCCTAAGACCCAAAGCAAACATTATGTGCCAGTACACCTTCCACAACAACCCTGACTGTGGCCATATTGCAAACTTCAGCCTCGATATCTGCGTTGACATGATGAATGCAATGCGCGAGGGCACCAAGAACCCTCCGGACCACAAGGTCACCACTGTCCATGACCTTCTGCCGAAAGGTCCCTTTTACCAGTGTCGACCATGTGAGGACAAACTTGCCAAGGTGGACACCAACTGTTCAGACTGCTCCGATTCCGAATATGTTGTTTTGGAGGGCCAAAATGCAGGTGTCCCAATTGTGCACAGCTATATGGAGATGTGTCTGAATGAGAAGAATACACCACCCGATGGTTGTGACAACTTCGTGCATGTGAATCAACCGCCACGACTGGGGACCCCTACCCCGGCACCGAAACCGATGTCTGCCAGCCAAACTCTGAAGATGAGGGATCTGGCTAGTAGTGATTCAGAGCTCCATCCACCGATCAGCATGATGGAAACCCTGGAAGGGTATGAAGATTTCCTGAAGAAATCAAATGAACAACTTCGTGCTCGTCGCCCGCCTTCCATCCCTATTCGCAGTCCAGAGTCAGGGACCTACGGGGATATTCCTGTTGCGAACCAATCATGGTATGCGAATGATTCGGACACAGAGTCTGACCAGGTGCAATCTCCCCGTCCCCTTGGCTCTCCTTTCAGCTCACCGCATCGGGCCCCACGACCAAAGGAAGCCCCATTGCGTGTATCCGACTTGAAAAGCCCACCACCTAGTCAACAGCCAGGCTATCTCAAGGCAACCCCCCGATTGACCAACGCAGGGATTCAGGGCGAGGCTGCACCTATTTACCGATCGAATGGTGCCACAACTCCGCCCAACCAGCAATGGTATTCAACGCTGCTTCCTTGCACACCTTCTCATCTGATCATCCCCCAACGCTATTCTCCACCATCCGCACCGCGCAAGACCCATCGGGCAGAATATTCGCAGTGTAATCCGGTGGACACGTCCGGCATCCCTTTCCGCCGGGAGTACAGGTTGCCGCGCCACGATGTTTTAAATACGGTCCTTCAGTCCCCACCGTCGCAATATCCTGAAAGCTATAACAGGAGCTATTCAAGACAATACTGGGGCGCCGTATCCGGTATGAATCCTGTGCGCGATGAGCGATGGTGATACCCCTCAGTGGCAGTTATATGGGGGTTCGATGATATCAGCACTTACCAAAATCATATTTCGGTCTTGTTGTTGGTCTGATTTATACTATATATATACACACACAAAAATACCCATGGATGCATGCGTTCTGTTTCACTGCTAATCGGTTGTCTTTCGGTTTTTAATGCGAAAGTGATGGCGATGATATCAGTGACAGGCTGAGTGACAGCCTGAGAATGTGATTTGGTGTTTCACCTCGAGTTAATGATTCAGAAGGTTCAATAATATCTGACAGTCTAATTGTTATCAAATGTCAGTTTTGGTTATGGCTATTGCAAATGGATATTCAATCAATCAAGTTCAAACTCCTATTCTACTCCATTATATTCCGTAGACTAATAGACACACTACGCAAGTAAACAGTAGTCATGAATGAACAAGTAAACTAAAGGAATACAGTCTCTATGTAGTATAGTCTACGAGCTTAGACCCCACAATACCACGCACACTGCATAAAAATAGAATGCAACCTTTAAGTATCATAACAAATAGTATAAATGAGCTAGAAGTCATTAAGGTATTGTATTACCCACCAACACCAACACCAGCAATCAAAGCGAAAGATTACCAAGGATATCACATCACCTCAAATCACATCATAACACCATGAATCGTAACTCATGCAATAACCAACAGGAATATATCCCAAACTCCGACCCCAACAACTCACAAACAACCAAATCGACGACTTAAGGGAAAGGAAAGAGCTATCACCACTTCCCCCGACACATCGGACAACTCGTCTGCCGATCACCATCAAGCGCCGAAGCTATCCACCGATCCATACACTCGCGGTGGAAGTTATTTCCGCATTGCTTCTGGCACCAGACGACAGAGGTGTCGTCCTCAGGGTTATGGCTGTATTGGGTAGGATATCTCTGTAGAGGGCAGAGGCAGATGCAGCAGTCGCCTTCGATGGGGTGGCGGGTGATGCCATGTTCTGAGATTGTGGGTGGAGTGGAGGGAGTGGGGGTGGTAGAGGTAGAGGTAGAGGCAATAGAGGTAGACTGGGGTGTAGGTTCCTGGGTAGTTGTGGATTCTGGGGTGCCTGTGGGAGTAGAGTGAGGTTCTTCGTTGTTTGAGGGAGGAGGGCTCGGGAGTTGAGGGTTTGGAGTGGAAGTTTCTGAGGTTCCTGTGGGATTGGTGGATTCGGGTCCTTGAGTGGTTGTGGATGAAGGACGCTCTTCACTGTTGAGTGTAGTTGTGGTATTGGCAGACTCGGTTTCTGCGCTGGGAAGGCTAATTGCTCTTATTGTGCTCGAGCTCGTGGTGTTGGAGCCGGAGGTAACATTGGTGCTGCTTCGCTGGGCAGGAGATGGAGTAGCTAGCGCATCGCTAGTATCACCGATCTCGACTATTCTGGACACAGAGCTCGGGGTAGCAGCACGTCGTTCAGCTTGAGCAGGAGTAGCTGAGCCATCGCTTGTCCTCTGGACCCTGGTTGTGCTAACGACTGTGCTTCTGTGTAGTTGCACGTTCGTGCTGGTAGAAGTGTTGACCTGCAAGGTTGTCTCGACACTCCCTCCAAGGGCATCCTGCCTTCGTGAAGACAGCAAGCCACTCGACACCGAGCTTCTCTGGAACCCGTACGCCTCATTTTGTTCCACCGTAGTAGTCTCAGTCTCAACAGTAGGAGGTGGAGAGGCTCTTCTTCTCGCTTCTTCCTGTCCTCGGGCATATCCCATAGCCGCACTTCGTCTAACCATGTCTTCAGTGTCCCGTCTAGTGCGCTCTGCGTCTCTCTTCGCCTGCTCTTTCTCCCACTCCGCTCGCTCTGCCTTACGAATTGCATCCTGCATCTTCCTTTCGAGTTCCGCAAGTCTATTCTCTATGATTCTTGTTTCATCACGCATCCTTGGTGACGGTGACCGCCGAGGCATCGATCTACTCGGCGAGATCCTAGGAGAAGATCGATGTTTAGCGATGTATTCATCGACCCGAGAGACCCAAGTATTACTTAGGCCGGCGGCTTGGTTCTGATGATAATGTCGGCAGAGGACGAGAGGAGCCAACTCCTCAAGTATATGATCAATAGACTGACCGGCTTTGAGCAAGCGGGTCCCTTGGTCGAGAAGGGAAACTGCATGTCGGCGGTTTCTGGCGTTTGTGGGGTTGCGGCAGTGACGGCCCTGTGAGGGCGCCCAGCCAACGCAGGACTGGCTTTCTGGGTAGATTCCGAGAATGTCGGAGAGATGGCGTGTCATTATGTGGTGTGCTGGATGGGCAGCAAGGGCAGGCTGGATATGCAATAGACAACTAAAGGGGAAGCGCTTGCTCAGTGGTTGCGGTTCAAGTACGTAGAACACAAGCAGCGCAAAGAACAAAAATCTCTAGCAAATATATAAGGTAAGTTGAAAGCTTAGAAGGAAAAGTCTATTGATTCCATCCGCCAGACATTCTAGATGACGCCTTTATACCTCATGGTCCATGGTCCTTATCTCGACATTGAGGGAGGCCATTGTGGCTGTTCACTACACCCTCTCTACCAGCGACGAGGCTGAGCAGCAAGCTAACCGTTGACCCCTGTTTGAGAGAGAGGCTGAGATAGCGACCACGCATGGTAGTTCGAGCGATAGTGCGACTTGTGGTGTGCGAGCTACGGGGTTAGTGTGCATTTAGGGTCAGCGTGATTGGTGTTAGATTGGCGTTGGGACGATCAACTAAATATGGCTCACTCCCGGAGGGATGGAATGAATTGGGCTACTTTTAGTATTTCAGTACACACTAGTACCAGTATGGAAGCGGGGGTGGATACCAAAAATACCCACCGCCTTTGGAGTTCCAGTTCCGAGTTGCTGCAACAATGGGATCATCGCGTCATTTTCTGCTCTTCTTACTTCCCCAAAAGATCAATTCATTATGTCAGAAATTGTATAAATAATGCCTGGTTCCTGCAACTCGTTCAGGGCATTCACTGTGCCAAATGGCTTCTTTCTCGTTGACCGCTGGTTTGTCGTATTCTTTCCAATCTATTTAATGCTCTGCCCCTGGCCTGGGTAGCTTTAGCTTGTAGTATATTCTATACTATACTATACTATCATTACTATCTCAAAACACCTTCCCGTCCCTACTTATCTGCCCAGAGGGTATAGTAACCTTCGTACCTTTCTCGTCGTGACTTTCAACATACTGTGGATGAGCCATGGAACCAAATCGGTATGCTCATTGCTATTCCCCTGGGACTTTCTCCCAACAACTCTTCTTATCATGTTGTTGCTGACTGTCTTAAGCCCCAAGCGACACCTCTTATCATTACCGGCGGAGATCCGGATCCTAATCTATAAGGCGGTGTTCGACGATAACGATGTCTGTGAAATCCAACGCAGGTCCATTCCTGTCTGGTGCCCGGTCGACAAATGCTGGTACAAAGCCCGGCGACAGTTCATGGCGGACCAGACGAATCGTAATAGCTGGGACGGCTTCTGTTCACATCTGGGATGTCAAACAAAACAAGGCCAAACAGTCAGTCGTGACATCTACGTCGGCCATGGTCCACTCATAGCTTCCGGGCATTATCCTTGCCCCAAATCCCTGGAGAGGAATCCAGCGCTTAGTCTCGGCTTCCTTCGCACCTGTCGTCAGGTATACGAAGAGGCAAGACACTTTCCCTATAGTCGAGCCACCTTTTTCACCCAAGAGCTTGGCAGCTTTGCCAACTTCACCTATTCCTTGAAAGCATGGCAGGTGGCCTCCATAGCCCATCTCAAGATCCGGATTCCATTGGTGCAGAGCGTAGAGACACATCTGGCCGAATGGAACGAAACGCTTTCTTTGATCAGCCTCGCGTTCCATGGCTTGTCTACGATCTCTGTGGATGTCCATTTCCGCTATGCTGAGCAAACCTGGAGGGACACCTTCTGGGATGGCGGACTCCTAGAATTGGATCGGTTAAAATTGAAGGGCATGCAGCTGGTCATTTACGAAGGGGAGAGGAACCCCAGACAATTCTTCGAGTATTCGGCGGGGACCCTGGCATCTGCACAGCCGAATCAGAAGGTTGCCACTCCCAACCCCATCAGCTTCCACCATGCCCGTGATACCCTTCGACAACGGGACCAGTCGCGCATTGATCCCAACGATACCGGGCGCTTATTTTTCCGCCTCTCGCCCAACGACTTCCCCCTCTATGTATGCAACCTCATCCACTTGCTTCCTCAGCGGCCTCGCACTGAAGCGGAGATCCGGCGCGAGGATAGACATCAGCGGGACTACAGTTACCACTACGCCTATCCTGAGGACGATCCTGAGCACGTGAACCCAATCTTCGGCTTCCAATTCAGTGACGCTCTCAAGGGAAACAAGGATGAGATTGCGCGAGGGCTGGATAAGCTACAACGGTCTCGCAAACGCTTGCAGCAGCAGAAGGCCAAGTCACCCTTACCTTTGCCCTACAAGCCCAGTCGGAGAGGCGTCTACCCACAGAGTCGGAGGAACAGCCAGGAGTATCAATCCGACCGCAGTGATATGGGCGAGGAGATTGAGCGTCCCGGAGACTGGAGACGCCGTTTAGTTCAGGAAAAGTTTGCACCGTTTATGGAGTCCTTCCCCTTGTCAGCGACCCGAAAATACCCCGGACCCCAGAGCATCTGTTTAAATTGCCCACGAGAGGCCACTGGAGACAGCGAGCATGTGAAATAAAAGTTTGCAAATGATCTCACTGCATGTATATAGTGAAGACATATTTCATTTCCTTAATAGAGAAGCAATAGTCGTCTGTCCAAGCAGAAGACCTTGAGAATGCATGATTAGCAAGACATCAGTATAGTATCGTTTCCTCTCGTCCGATCCCCAACCAAGACCAAGCAGCTAGACAGGCAGTCCCTCTGTCCCTGAAACTCCTTGCTTGTTGCACAACGAGCAACTAACACCGTGATGTTGAGCGGTACGTAATGTTGTGGGGGAAAGGAGGACTGGGGGAATTTCCCGTACGTAATGGCATCTGCGGTGGTTGGATGGATGGGTCCGGAATCAGTCATTCGTGATACTTACTTTTACTTACTCACTCACATTTCTTGGGAAAGGTGAAGTGGTCAAAGTGGAAACAAATTGCAGCAGTTGCGGTGGAGAGAAGCCTGGGCTGGTGGAGCTGCAACCCATTTCAGGCGAGTGTCGTGATCTCCTCCCCATTTCTCTTTGTCATCCCCAACCGGGTTTAGCCACCCGGTCAACTTAAATCAACCAGTCAGAGAGACTTTTCTCGGCCACGGGGAAAATCAAACCTTTTAGGTTCATATGACCGCCTTCAAGAATTTAATTAATTAGTTGAGTTTTTTGCCATGAGGGAAGCTCCTCCCTCGTTAGCGTAATGCGGGCAGGTCACGGGTCGATGGGGTAAGAAAGGGGGTCTAGATGGATCACAACATCTCCTCTCCTCTTGCGGGGTATTACGTTATAACCTCGGACGCTGGCGGCTTCTCCATGTCGATCTGCTGAGGTACTTACTTTACTAGTGGGTTCTAGACTAGCCCTGTACAACTTTTGCCTTGAAATTTCGATGCGTTTGAATGTCTGGGCATTAGCATCATTGCTGCTGGTTATGATTATATCCCTCAACCTTCTTTTTTTCTCATTTTCTCATTTTCTTTTCTTTTTTTCTTTCTGTTTTGCAGGTGGGGCTGTATGGTAATGTTACGGTTTTTCCTGCAGCCTTGCGTAACTGGCCCTTATTGCCGGATTGGACTGGCTTTTGTAGTAGTTCCGAGTCGGACCCAAGAATGGGTTGAAGAAGAAGAAGAAGAAGAAGGGGAAAGAAACCGAGTGACCCTATCATGACTCAGATCATTGCAACCAGCCAATTGTTCAGACTTTTCTACTTAGTAATTATTGGTGGCCTTATTAGTCAGGTGCGCAAGGCATTTCCGGGTGCGGCCACCCAATGACCTCAACATGACAGATTCGGGAGATCGACCGGCCTTATGCGTATCGCCATAGAATGCTGTCTTCAGCTATTGTCTAGTATCCTACTCCTGGACGACTGAATGCTGTGAATAATTACTCCGATTCATCCTATCAACTATGGCTACAGCTCTACTCATCACTGGAGCCACTGGCAATCAAGGTGGTGCGGTCATCAATGCTCTGCTGGCGCGGGATGCAGACGTTGAGATCCTCGCCGTGACCCGCAACCCGCAGTCAGGAACATCGCAGAAGCTTGCCAGAAAGTCTCCCAAAATTAAGCTAGTTCAGGGCGACCTTGATCATCCATCCGAGATCTTCGAAAATGCGAAGAAACTCGCCACTCGGCCCATTGCTGGTGTCTTTAGTGTTCAGGTAGTACCCAACCATGTTACTTCCAACCCATGCGGCAGAATTAATTGACGAAAGATAGAATCCTATGGCAAAAGGCCAAAATGTAGATAAAGAAGAAATCCAAGGGAAAGCCTTGATCGATGAATCCATCAAGCAAGATGTCAAACACTTCGTCTACAGCTCCGTCGATCGCGGTGGTGATGCCTCCACCGATAACCCAACCAATATCCCCCATTTCATCAGCAAACATCACATCGAACACCATCTGTTTGAGCAAACCAAGGATGGCTCCATGACCTGGACTGTCCTCCGTCCGGTGTTCTTTTTCGAAAATCTTGTCCCCAGCTTCATAGGCAAGGTGATTGCCACGGCCTGGGATGCCTACCTGCAGGGCAAACCGCTGCAGTGTGTTGCGGTCAGCGATATCGGGGTGTTTGCAGCCAAGGCTCTCCTCGAGCCACAAAACCACAAGAATCAGTGTATCTCTCTCGCCGGAGATGACCTGACATTTGAACAAATGCAGAAGAAGTTCAAGGCAAAGACGGGGGAGACGGTGCCAACCACATACCGGGTGGTTTGTTACTTATTGATGTGGATGGTCGCTGATCTGCGGATTATGTTCAACTGGTTCTACGATCACGGCTATGGGGCTGATATTCAAGGTCTAAAGAAGACGCATCCTGGCCTGAAGAACTTTGAAGCGTGGCTGGAAGAGGACAGCGAATGGGTGAAGCGTTAAGGTGGTCTGACACCACTGCTCTCCATGTTTGACTTCTGGGAAAAAAGTTTCAAATTGATAACCTTGTCATTTTATGTACCAGCAATGTTTGCTGTACTACTACCTACTTCAGCTGCTGCCTGGACTGTACTTTCTATCTATCTGTATGGATACCTAATGTCGAATGAGAATCCCTGGGTGGTTGTACAACTCAAGTCCTCATAACCCTCTGGATACGGGAGGTCTAGCCAATCCGTCTCTCTTCCTACTTCCCGCGTTTCACCCCATCCTGGACCACTCTGCATCTTGTACTCGAGATACCTCCATGTCACATGTTGTCAGCATTCCCCTCCTCCGACTACTTATTTCCCTCCCTCTCTCCCTCCCTTCTCTTCCTCTTCATCCTTTTCCTACCGTCTTCCTATCTGCACAGTTCCCTTCTCTCATCACTTTCATCTATATTAATCTCTATATCCTTTTATACATATTCAGTATACTCAATATATAGTGTCTCTCACTTTTCATGGCCTCTATTCGTCCATTCTCGATCATTTCTACCGTCTTCATTCCTTCAGCGTCATCCAGTCTACAATCTGAGTCACCCTACTCAATGGACCTCTGAGAATGCCTCCTCACCTTCCTACTCAGTTGCATCCATGTCCTCTCACAATCCCATTAGAGAGAACAAAGACCAACTACTTTCTCTGTTTCAGTCTATATTGACGAACCCGAAGACCATATGCTCAGGAACGTGGATTTATCCTGTTAACAATAGGATGGAGAGTGTCACACGACGGGGCTGTCAGATGTCGTATAAAGAATACAGCGATTTGGCTCTGCATGCAACGGGATAAACTCGGGATCAACTGCTGATGAAGTCAAGTGGTAATCCCTCTCTTATGGATTCTGGTCGCGGTTCCATTTGCCACACGTGATGGGGTTACTCTATGGACGCTGTGATTGTGGGCCATCCAGGGATAGCAGAACCACTGTGAATGGCACCCGCTTGACCACTCTGGCACCGCCTGTGCTCGAGACTGATCGGAACGGCGTGAGTATGGAGAAGTGCTGTCTCAGGTATTTGACCATCAGCGCCAGAGAACCTGCATCGAATGTAACCATTCGGTCAATTATGAGAGACGATTTAATAACGTCCCCATGCGCCTGGTAGTGGAACTCGGTCCTAATGTGTCTATACGGTCACATACAAAGGACATTACCCTATCATATCATGATGATGGTGGTGAGGGGCAGAGAGTCACACACCGCTGGATAGGAGGGATATACTCACCAGCACCAGGTTTATTGTGCCTCTTGTCGAATGGTGCCGAACGTGGGATGCGCTGGGGAACTGGGAAGTATATCGAGTGGAGTTAGTACGCCCTTCATTACGTTGTCCTATTTTGAGGCCATCCTTGCTAACGCTTCTGTCTCAAAGCTGATAGATGGCTGGATATATCTGAGCTGCACCACAAAGCGAGTAGTATACGGAGATGTCCGAATCGAATCGGATCATCGGGCGTCTATTCCATCGAAAGACCACTGCAGTCACAATGGACTGCACACGGTATGAACAACTCACACAAATGTGACTGCATCACCACTCGTTCGACAGTTTGCCTTGATGCGAGAGAGGCCGTGCTCGAAAACGGACACTGGCGATACATTCCTGTCACTTGGAGCACCCCATCCACAACCATGAGTGATGCGGTGAACGAGGACGATGCTCGTGGATAAAGAGGATCCTGAAGAGAACTGCCCGATGTACCACATGTACTCACTGAACATCACTTCTGTAATGCTGTTCTTTCAAGATTTTACGGGTTCACTTGCTATCAATTGGCCTGGCTCAGAAGACTCAACGGATGACCCAAGCAATATGCATAGAAAGCATGACCAGCTACAGCCAATCTGTCTGTACGTGGTCAATGCCCATGCGGTGTATACGCTCGTTGGATGGATGGATGAGATGATCCGTGCAATCCAATTCAAGACAACGAAGACAACCAGCCATGGCGAGGCTTCTACAGGGATTCTCCATACCTCTCCTAGTGTGTCTGATGTCAGTGATGGAAAACGTCGCAGAATTACGTCAGAAGAGATCCGAAAGACAGTCGTGAAATGATCGAAATCTACAGACGTGATGCCCCAGAAAGCCAAGATCAAAGGCAATGGCATTACAAAGAGCAAAAGATGATGTTTCCAGAACATTGGCAGACCCCCGAGGGTATTGATTGGATATGCTGCGTCTGATGTCCGTTAATGACTCGAAGCAGAGACCGACATTCAATAAGTTGCTGTCCGTTTTCCGGAGGTCTTGTGCGGACAACAACTATGCAACCCGCCGGATTGAACTCCCAATTGATGTGGAGACGATCTGGAGAGTATTGATCAACCCATGGACGATATACCGTCCTCGTATTCGACTGACCCAATGAAGCCCACACCACCTATGAGCATTACTTCAAAGCTGCCCCATCTCTAACACTGGTCTAAGCCTCCTCTCTGTCCTATCAGACCAGATGCATCGACCTGAATCCACCAAAAACCCCTAATGAACGAGAAAAAGCTATACGCAAGGCACAAACAAGAATTGCGAGGTATAGTCTGGGTAAAATGTCTACAACCCTGCTTTGCCGTACAATCAGCCACGAGAAGAAACTTTGGAGACATCTGAGGAGAACAACCCTTGATTTACTCTCAGCTTCACCCTTCCATTCCATCTACACTACAACCCACATCGTTCACCCGTATATGCTACTCCTATCCTATGCATCTTTCCACATACACTATCGAGAGACTATATCTATCGATAATCAAGTACGAACGACCATCCAACAGTCAATATGGGAGATCATGGAGGACAAGCTCTACTATTTCACACATCCATTCCACGTCAACAGTGTCCACACCACCCTACCGTGTTACATCAGCATCATTAAACCTGCATGGCAGACAAAACACCACCAAGAACAGTCTTGCAAAACGGTTATATATTGTCTCGAACGTACGTACTTACTACAATCCCTGCTTTCTCGCATTGCAACCCAAAACTGACCAAAACCTGCAGCCACGTACGACATGGTGAGAGCCAAATGCTGCGCTAATTGTATCAAGCGGAGCATCGAGCGAACCCATATCTGTGACATTTAGGATAATATTAAGGGACCTTTCTTTTCTATACCCTCTCCTTTTGTCTCTGCTACATCGAGATCATCGTCAGGGCAATGGTTGAAGGTCTCATATTACAAGGTACTACTATCACTATATAATCCATCCATACTATACACTACATCTAGTCTTGTCTCTGAAAATCTTAAGGGTGTTGTTGTTGTTGCTATTTTCTATTCCCAGGGTGGGGTTAAGGGTTAGAGATACATTATTGCATCATACATACACAGCTTCAATACTATTGGATTACCTGCTATCAAGTGTAATAACCTATTGTATAACAATCCTTCAGCCAGTATACTCACATTGAGTTTAGTACAAGCTTTAACAAATGAAGCGATCTTTGACGTAATAAAGTGCACGTTGCATGTGTTACAACAATTCAATTGGTTCAGCTCAAAGCCATGCATGCTCTGCAATGCATATATAGTATAGATAGATAGATGGATGATGAAACGACATTCTAGTAGCCCGATAGACGCGTGTAAGTAAGGTATAGTGTGGTAAAACGAATGATCCGAGACCCCTTCACCCGCTAAAATAGCAATAGCAGCAGCATGGACTATCAATCAGCGGATGTGAAAATCGATACTACTACCCTTGAGGGGGTAAGTTGCCCCGCCCCAAATGAGGTAGGAAAAACAAAGGAAGCAAGAAAATGCAGCGAGTGGCTAATATAACGCGAAACACAAGCACAGCTTCAAATATACCCAAAACCGTGGTTATTCGAGGGAAAGACGGTTTCTATAACATTTAAACAACGACTCCTCGCCGTCTCCAATACCTCCACGCAATCAACCAAGCCCCAATGGCTATCCAGACGCTTACCGTACATCCCACGGCCCAGAACCCAAAGCACCTCCAGCCATGACATTGGCCGTCATTCGTGCCATTTCCATCGTCCATGGCGTCCTGGTATCCTTGCGAGTACGCCAATCCCCAGACGGCTGCTCCAGCGGCTGGAACCATGGCAACGATACCCCAGTTGGTGGCGAAGTTCTCAACACCCCAGACGACGGAGATGATAATGGGAACGAGGGAGAAGGCGCTGCCGTAGCCGAGACCGATCAGGGCTGTGGTGAGGTGGGTGAAGCCGGGGTATTGGAGGGGGATAGGGGAGGAGAGAAGGAGGTAGCCGATGGAGAGGAGGAAGGCGGAAGGGAGGAGGAATGCAAGGCGGGTGAAGGTGGTGCGGTTGGTCGCCGATGTGATGGAGGCAGGGCGACTACTTTCTAAAGGACCGGGGAAGAGATGGGTCGCTGGCGGGGCGAAAAGATCGGAGAGCGAGCCAGTGAGAAGTCGGGCAATGGTGGAGGTCAGCGCGATGGTGCTGACATGGGTTGATGGTAGGCCTGCAGGTGATGAGGCGTTTGTGATGTTTGATACAGGAGTCAAAGATTGGACAATTGTGCCCAGCTAGAGAGCGACCCAGTCAGCTTGAGACGACAAAGTATATTGGACGCAACATACGTTATTGATATATGCCTCGCCTGGTCCAGTGACCAGGAAGAAGCCAATCGCAAGCCACCACATTGACTTGTCCTGAAGAAAGATCCTCGTCTCGTAGTTCAGCAGCCAGTTCTTCTTCCGGCGCTCTTCTTCCTCCCTTTCCTTCTCAAGTCTTGCTGCTTCTCGTTCCTCTTCTGGAAGTGTCAGAGTTTGGTCCCCATCGGATCCAGTGCCGTCGTCGGCCTGCGAAAACGTTCCATAAGCGGCTCTAACTTCGTTTCTGGGCCGGAAGAACTCGCTCTCCTCGAGAAGGCCACTGCGCTCCAGTTCCTCTACTGCCTCGTCGATGTACTTGTCTTCGTTCTCATCCACGATCCTGAGGGCAAAGGTGCCAATTACACCAATGCAGAACAACAGGATCGCGAGGAATAAGAAGTATTTGTACACATTGACATCGCCACGAGCACCATCCTCAAGTCGGTCACACAGGAAGTACGTTCCCACCTGGCTCTGCCACATGCCACTAAGGCCAAACCCCGCGATAGGAACAGCAAGCATAATGCCCTTATGCTTACCCCTGCCAAAATTCTTGGCACATGTTGCGACCGCAGCCAAATACATACAACTTGTAGCAACGCCAATGGCAATGAAAGCCACGATCATCACCCAAAACGGCCAGCCCTCGCCACCTGCATCAGGAGGCGGTCCACTCTTGAAGGCCAGTGCAGCCAGAAGGTAGCCAGCACCAAACACGAAACCAGAGAATAAAGCCAGCGGAGATGGGCTGTACCGATCACAAAGATATCCGAAAAGCGGAACAGGTAGGTACATCGAGACCTCTGCGGCGATCGCGACAGCATTGACCCGGAGTTGAGTATAGTGGAGGCGAGTGAGCAACAGGGGTCCGTATAGCGAGAATGCGGTAATGCTACCAGCTCCAAGACTGATGACCACAATTGCGATTAGCCAGTTATCCAACGAGGATGTAATCAGCGCATCCTACATGCACAAGAGATCTTACCAGCTGATAACTCCCCAAGCAAAACTGCTAACCCGCACCACTTCCTTGGCCATCTTCTTTCTATCCCTTTCTAAGATCTCGTCGACAACATCATTCAGGAGGCCATCGTCATTGTTGGTGGCCGATAAACATGACCCTGCCCGTGACTGTATGTGTCCTCGCTGCTGCTCATCCGCCTCAGCATCTGCATCATCTAGTAACGGGCGATGAGCATCAAAATCCCGCTTGTCGATAGCTGGGTCTTGCTTATCACGGGATGGCGTCATAGTGTCTCCCTTATGAATAGTGATAGCGCGATCTGGATGAGGACGACTTTTCACAGATTATAAATCCTTCGAGGGCATGAAGCGGGCAATAGCTGCCTGGGTAATGTGTTTTGGGTCCGACCAGGGGAAAGATAACAGCGTGCCTGGCAAGATGGGCCTGTCTGTGAGTTCTCCGCAAACTAGTGCTCCGCAAACGGAAATCAGAAGACAGCAAACCAGAAAGATGAATCAACGCGAGTATAAGGGAGAGAAAGAAGAACCATAGGCCTTCAACACATCCAATAGGACCTCCCAGACATCGAAACTGGGAACCAGCAAACCCCTGAGATTGGTGAGGAGAAGGGAATGCGGAGATGGGCTGCTGACTGAGTGACTGACGAGGCGATGAGCCAAGCTGCGATTAGATAATAAGGCGTGAGGCGATAACCACACCGCTTATCGCCGCTATCACGTGGCCTGATGCCTGAAGGCCTTGGGCAGCACACATCCAGTGTAGCATCCTTATGCTGGTTTGTCACTTTACAGTCTACGGCTGACATCTTAATAACCATTATAAATATTCGATTCTCCTGTCCCCGGTCTAAGCTCAGCGCCTATAGGTATGTACACACAAACACAACTACCGAACAACACTCTGTGGAAAGAAGCTGGGAAAAGCACGGATTAAAAAGTCCCCGGGTATCGGACCAGTCCCCAGGAGGTATAATCAGTAACACATGTCCGAGAAAGAATAAAAAGCGTAAAGGAAACAATACCGGCGCACCTTTGCGGGGGCCAGGCCAAATCAAAAAAAAAAGAAAATCAGTTTCATACACGCCATGAGAATGTAGTGGCCCCCAAGCAGAGACCTTCTATTATGCGCCCGGCATGGATAGTAAGGTGTCTGTGGTGAGCATCATGCCATGATCGTTCGTCAATATCGTAATGTATGTTGCCGAAAAACAAGTTGTAATGTCACCCATCTACCCCCGTCATCGTAATCGGTTAACATTATTCAGCGTGGGTATAGCGATAGCCCCACGAGATGGGAAGGGCCAAAGCCAGCTGTGTTTATTTGGTATGCAAGTTTGATGCCACATGCCGTCAATACAAGAAGAACTTGCCATGCGGACATTAGGGACAAAGCAACCCCGGTCACTCTGGCTCGAAAGCCCGAGGATCGAAAAGGAGTGAAGGCAGGGATAAAACAGAATACAAAGGCGCACCGAGTTCCAACCGCCAGAGGTTGATGGAACCCGGATCTAGAAGCTAACCTCGCCAGGGTCAGTCTCCAGTACATTCTCGTCCCAATAGCGCTGAGACGAATCATCGCGGCTGGCGTGCTGGGAGCCAAGCGCAATCGCTTC